GGGGTGGCCTACCTCACTATTTAGTGAACGACCTTGAGCGTATTCAAAGGAGAAGCTTACGTATTATTGGTTTACCGGTCGATACACTTCCCCCGCTTAGTGAGAGAAGAGATAAGCTAACTCTTCGAGAAATAGAGGCAATTACTCAGGACGTAAACCATCCATGTCACCACCTTGTCCCTATCGCACAGAAGCATGACTATTCCACTAGAACTAAAGAAAGAGGTTCTAAATAAATGTAGGTCGCATTATTTCCAGAACCGAAAGACATAAATCATCGTTTATACCTCGTGCAGTTAAACTTTTTAATAATAAACTTTAAATTACTACTGTAATAGATGGTTCTGTAATTTTAGGCTGAATGTAGGTTGCATTATTCTCTGAACTGAAGAACATAATCGTCGTCTGTGCCTTTGGCAACTGAACCTTTTTAAAAATACAAATTTTTATTGTAATATAGATGGTTTTATAATGTTTATGAATTTTAAGTCCACTGTATTTTTTTACTTAAGGTGGATTATTATTAAAGCTTTACATCACATCCGTATTACTATCAGACTAATAAAATGAGGCATCGATCGCTTACTCGTCAACCAAAACGTATGTTGGGTTTCTTCGAAGAAGATATAAAACCATACGTGCATTTTGCCAACCGGCAACGTTAAAAGAATACTGGGTTTAAACCAAACGTTATACGAAGGTGCGAAAGTGGAGATCAAATACGAAAAGGAACTTTACCAAGCACAAATTCTGAAAATTCACGGTTAGTTTAATATTAGAAATATAAAAATCTACGTCTGCAACGCTGGTGTATAAGCATAAAAACGTGGTGTGAAATCGCTAACATGAATATTTTCCGACGCCCACGATTTGTTTATGAAAAGCGAAACGCGATAATTTCCGACGATCTACGTCAAGCGAACTCTTTCTCAGCTGCGTCCTCGCCCGCAGACGCAAAGCGGACGCATGGCGCCCGCACAGTGGATGCACCCGCAAGCGATCGCAGACGCACAGTGGACGCACGGCGCCCGCAGGACGGACGCACCCGCGGGCGCCCGTGGACGCACAGTGGACGCAAGATACCCACGTCTTGGACGTGGTTTTTGAGTACTGTAGCATAACTTAGTTCTACAAAATGGCGCAGTACATATTATAACAAACCATTCATGAACCATTCTTAAAGAGTGTGTCATTCATAACATTCTGAACAAAATTAAAGTGGACATACCAAGTCCAGCATCTTCTTCATTTGCTTCCAAGTCTTCTAGATCCAAACCAAGCTAGGATTAAATTTAATATCATTAAACTTAATATTTATATCATACCTGACACTGACCAGTATGTCTGATACATCTACGTACTTTGTCATAAATTATTAACTAATTGTTTAGAAGATATTCATGGCTATAGCAATCCAATAAATTTGATTTTATATACCAGAGGTGAATACAATGGCTGAATGTGGCTTATACCTGATATACAGCTTCATCACATTCACCTTCCATACCAAGATTGACCATTGTGTTTCCCAGTGATCTGCCCATGTAGTATTCCATTGATAGATAGTACACACGCTGGGAAATATAGTTAATACTGTATGATCATTTGAACAGCATAATGGTGTTAACCTAGTACTAGATGGACTAGTTGAGCACTAACTAATCTAATGGTTTGATTTTTACCACAAGGGTCATGCCATTTACACTAACTTGCAATTTTTGCCGTGATTTTAGGTGGGATATTCTTCTTTTGATCAGTTGAAGGTACATTGTAATACACTCAGAACATTCATAACTCATCTACTTGTTAATTATATTCAAATGCATCAGAAGACAAAAATCTCACTGTCTAGAAATCACAGACGGTCAGTACTATAAATGGGCTTTAAAGTCACTATAAATGGGCTTTAAATATTGAGATGTTTTGGGCATCTCACTTAATAGAAGGGTTTTCGAAGATAAGAAATTTTGTGCCATTGATTATATACAATTTTAGACCAAAAAAATGTGGGCCCTTTGGCAGGACAGAAATGGGGGGGGGGGGGGGGGGTGAATAGGTTTTCGGATCGTCAGATTTCACAGAAAAAAATGTTCGTATTTCGGATCTGGCAAATATTTTACACAGATTTGCAGAATCTTATTAATACAGCGGATTGCTGATTTATCTAATATTTTGGCTCGGATTGTGGATTTAGCTTGCAATTTAGTTCGGATCCTGGATTGTGACTTCATTGTAGAGCTTTAGGCGGATTCAAATTTAGACAAGACCATTGTCGGATCGTGGATTTTGCTTCAAATTTGGGCAGATCGGCAGATTTGTATACCCCTATTCACCCCCCCCCCCCCCCCCCAGGT